AGTGGCTGTTGGCATGGCACTTAATCTGACTTGTAAACAGTAGTGCCCTAGAGTGTATGCAGAAAACCTGCCGCCTGCAGAAAGGGAGTGACCCAAATCCCGTGATTAAAGCAGAGGAAAGAAGGACATGATCTTCTTTCTGAAGGGTTTTGTTTGTGAAGCTCCTCGTGGCTTTTTTACTTTTTCCATGAAAAACTCTTTGTCCTTTTGTCTTCTGCCACTGGCCCTGGTTTTGGACAGGGCGTTGATGTGAAGACAGTTTCCAAATTGGAAATTAATGAGGTGTTCCATCCAAAGAAACCTTTCTCCCATGCTGCAAGACATGCTGCCCCTGGGAACCTCACCCCCACCCCCCACTTGGATCTTTGCTTTCCTGCTGCCCTTGTCTGTAAAGCAGGGTTGGGCATTCTTGCTTCTCTGCTGTCTCCCTCATGTTTTCCTGACCTAGAACTTTTTTTTAAGGTTTTGTTTGTTGGTTTGTTTATTGAGAGAGAGTGTGTGCATCTGTGTATGCTCACAGGGGGAGGGGGATGGGCTGGGGGATGGGAGAGGGAGAGAATCTCAAACAAACTTGGCACTGAGCGTGGAGCCCGACATGGGGCTCAGTCTCCATCATGAAATCATGACCTGAGCTGAAGCCAAGAGTTGGATGCTTAACTGACTAAGCCACCCAGGCACCCCCAGCCTAAGAATTTTTTAGGTCTGTGTATCATATCAGGTATGATTTTCCCACAATCCGTGGATGGTGTTAAAGCAGGATAGATCCTGCTGCCTGAGGCCACTGTCACTGAGCCAGAAAGTTCTCAATGGCTCTTCAGAGCTTCCACTACAGCCCTTTGTGTATATTCAGAAAGAAGGCTGGTGCAGATTTCCTAGGATGCAGCATGAAGGGGAGAGGGTGCTCCAGGAAGGTGAGGGCACTCTAGGAAACTTCTCGTCAGCACCATAGTCTCAGATTTGGTGGTGTTCATGTGTGCTGGTAAGAAGGCTGCCCATCATTGATAAGGAAACAGCTAAAAGAGCAGAGAGGTGCCCATTAGGGAAAAGACTGGCTCAAACTGACTGAGATAGTGCAGACAATGTGTGTTGTTCTCAGGCTTTGGTAAGGAATGGTAGATTTCTGATTTTGCCAAGTTACAGGTAATAAATTTTAAGAACTCCGAAGATGAAAAGTGGCCTCTAGTCAGCACTCAGCACTATAATGAGAGGGTTTTGAGGGAGAAACAAAGCTCTGTTTAGAGCAAGGACATACAGGCTTAGGGTTGGCAGAGTGTCTAGGAACCTTGTGGAACTTACTGCAAAATTTTATGCATAATTATTTCAAAGGAGAGGACCCGGGGCTTTCATTAGATTTTTTTTTTAAATTTTTATTTTATTTATGATAGTCACACACAGAGAGAGAGAGGCAGAGACACAGGCAGAGGGAGAAGCAGGCTCCATGCACCGGGAGCCCGACGTGGGATTCGATCCTGGGTCTCCAGGATAGCGCCCTGGGCCAAAGGCAGGCGCCAAACCCGTGCGCCACCCAGGGATCCCTTTCATTAGATTTTTAAAGCAGTTTTCGAACCCACTACTTATATGAAAATAGATGCCCTGTCAGGGTGGTGGAGGTCTGACTGACCTGTGTGTGGTAGTCCCCCATGTAGATGTGCTGTGGTTTCCTGTATCCTCCGGGAAAAGGGACACAGACCCCAGGAGGCCAGATATCGTGTGACTCAGATACCTGAGGGAATCTGTGGAACCACTTGTAAGGAGTGTGCAAGAGAGGTGTGGAATCGAATGGAAAGGAAAGTTTCCCCCCAAGCACGCTAAAGACAGCCTGGCAAACAAAATGTGGACACATAGAAGGAGGAGGGTTGACTGGGTTTGGAGTGAAACGGAGAAAAGGAAACAAGCTAAATCTCCAGGGAAAATCTTTGTGACCACAGGAATGAATAGGTCGTGGCCCTGTCATTCTAGAGTAGCTTGGAGCAACTCCATTAGTGGGGAGTTTTCAGGAAATGTGGATGTAATAGAAGGACAAGCATGGGCTGACCTTGAAAGGGGCTCTTCTGGAGACCTGCACGCACTCCTTCCCCACTGGTACTGTTGGACAATACCTCGAATTGGCTTTATAATTTCTCTTGCATTCAGCACACACATGGACCTGCTAAGAGCCAAATTCAGGACCTACTTGCTGCAGCAGAAGAGTCATGAGCACAGTATTTGAATCACTTATATTTTTGGGTAGGTGTGGTTTTTGGAATAATCCAGGAAGTGTAGTTTAAGAGTTGTTTGTTTGTTTGTTTGTTTGTTTTTAAAGAAAAATTATGGTCTGATATTACAGATCTAAGACTCTATAATGAGGCTCTTTGCACTGATTCAAAGGAAAATGAGAGTAGTTTCTACCATTCTCTTCCTGTACTTCTTGGCTACCATTTTAAGAGTATTGGTTCTTCCTTCGGGGAAAGTTAGGGGAGCAGAGGGGTCTCTCGTGCCCTCCAGGGTGGTAGCTAGCCATGTTCCATAGAGGCTCTGTGGCGTGGATAGCTCCTCTGGGCTGGGCTCTCTCCTTTCCCCCTGGAAACACCCAGGGATCCTTTAGATGGCTTTTTTTCAGGAAGCACATTTCTGAGGTTGTGAACAGAATGGTTTGGCCTGTGGAAAGGAAGGCAGAGGGGACGTTTGCAAGCCCAGGTTGAGAGATTCCACTGCTCATTAGACCTCTCTCCCTCTTCCCGAGCCCCTGCTGCCTCTCAGTATGTTGGCGTTTCCTTGCCCATGAATCCATCCCCCACAGTATTTATCTCAGAGCTTTTCCACTTGCTCATGCCTTTGAGCCCCACCTCGCCCCCCATCCTTTACCTCCCACCCCAGAGAGTGGGGCTAGCCTATGTGAGTGCTCTCGCCTCCCCACGTCTTCCCACCACAGCTGCCTCTCTCACGGATGGGTGCCTCCACTTGGCCTGAGACCCGTTCCTTTTGTACTGGCTTCTTCCCCTCACCCCACAAACCCAGCATAATCCTCAGGCCTGCCAGCCCCCTGGAAGCGGTCATCCGCACTCATTGCCTCCACCAACCATGCACTTGTCTTTAACCCAGACTTCTTCACATCATGACGCACAGAGGAGATGCCACTGTTTGTGTGGCACAGGGGTTATGTGCGCCAGACTGATGGAAGGCGGGCTCTGGCTGCCCTGGGGGTAGAAGGGACCAGTGTGACAACATGTCTCGAATCCACTCACAGCACAGGGCCTGAAATCTTTGCAGTCTGACTCTGCTCCCACCCCATGCTCTTCCCCCTACAAAGTCTTCCTAAGATCACCGATAAGCAAATGCTAAATGACATTTTCTTTATCTTCCTTGACATGCAAGTGGTATTTGACTCTCACTAGTGGTTGAGAGCCCAGACTCAGTTTCTGGCTGTGCCCTTCTCCAGCCTGTGACCTCAGACAGGTTACTTACTCTATGCCTCAGAATGAAGATAATGAAACCTATGTCATAGGGTGGCTGCCTGAGTGAGATGGCAGCCTGTGGGAAGTGTCTTGTCTCCTTGTAAGTGCTCTGTATGTGTCTGTTGTGGCTTTTGAGTATTTTTGTTGTTGTTGTTAAAATTCTATTTATTTATTCATGAGAGACACACAGAGAGGCAGAGACACAGGCAGAGGGAGAAGCAGGCTCCCTGCAGGAAGCCCGATGTAGGACTCGATCCCAGGCCCCCAGAATCACACCCTAGGCTGAAGGCAGATGCTCAACCACTGAGCTACCCAGGTGCCCCTGAGTACTACTTTCTTAAAGCCCCTTTCCCCTAATGTTGGACACTTCTGATTTTTCTCCTATCCCTTGAGCTCTCTTGGTTTCTGTTTTCATTCTCCAGATTCTCTTTTTGTCCTGTCCCCCCCCCCCCCAAATGGAGAAGGTGGTAAAGAATGCAGCCTTGGCTCTCCCTTGCCCTTTCTTTCTTTGTTGGGCCTCTGGCCAGGGCTACCAACTTCGCCCCTGTAGATAAGTCATCTCCCCAGGCCCACACCCCAGCTGCCTGCTACAGAGCCCACCATCTGGACCTCTTCCCTGCACCTCAGACACAGGAGTCCCAAAAATATTTTAACATTTGTGTTGTTTCTGTTTTAACAGCAATAAATGCTCATTATAGAAGATATAGGGAAATTTAAAGGATAAAAAATACAAATCAGCAGTTATCCCACCACAGCAAACAGTACCACTGAACTCGGGTGTATGTTTTGAGCCCAGTGGGCCTCAGATTGGGCCAGGTTTCCCCAGGGGATGTTTGGCAACGTCTGGTGACATTTTTGGTTGTCAGCTTGGCTTTGTGGGAGGGGCTACTGGCATCTATCTATCAGGTGGAGTCCAGGGATTATCACCAAACGTTTTACAGGACACAGGCTAGGCCCCACAACAAAGAATGAGTCCACACAGTACTGCTGAGGCTGAGAAACCCTGCTCTGGACCTTTGTCTTTACAGAACTGGCCCAAATAGACTAAGTTGGAATTACTGTTCTCTCTCTGCCTCCATCCTGCCTCTCTCATCTGTGTTCTCTGTTTCTGCCAGTGACCCCACTTTCTCTCTCACCCCACATCTGACCCATTACCAACTCCACAGATTCCCCACGTGTCACACCTTTGGCATCTACCCTCTGTCCCTTCTCTTTCTTCCAATTTTGCTGCTGATGACTACTCACTCAAGGTAATGAAAAGGCATTCCAGCAGGCCCTTCACCTTGAGTTTCCCTCCTGCTGGGCCTTGCCTGTGCCACCTGTGTGCTTGGAGACCTTCTGTCAACCTCCATGCCTTTTAAATCCATCCCTCAGAATCTGAGCCCCCTGAGGGCAGCAGCTGCCACATCTGATCAGTCTTCGTGCCTAGCTGGAACCTACCACCGTTCTGAGCACAGAGTCAGTGCTTGGTCAATCTCTGTAGAATGGTATGGATGAATGGTTGCATGAAAGAAAGGCCTGGAAAAAAAATCCTCCTCTTAATTCCCTCATAATCTGTCTTTGCAGATCCTTGGTGAATGGTTTGGTCGGACCATCATTCGCTCCTGTACAAAACTGAGCTACGAGCATGCACAGAGCATGATTGAAAGCCCAACCGAGAGAATCCCTGAGGAGGAGCTGCCCCCCATCTCCCCCGAGCACACCAGTGAGGAGGTACACCGGGCTGTCTTGAATCTCCACAAAATTGCAAAGGAGTTACGCAAACAACGGTTTGTGGACGGCGCACTACGTCTGGATCAAGTCAGTCACTTCTTTTTTTGGGTGCAACCAACAGATTTGACTTATGCTTGAACTCAGCATGCATGAGGTTCAACATGGCAGTCTTGGGATCTTCCCTTCTTCTTTCCCCAGTCACAGCACTAAAACAGCATTCTCTGAGGCAGAGACTAACTGCCATCCATCCTCTGAACTTCACAGGCACACGAGGCCCACTGACAGGACCCAAGACAAAAGGGTGGTGTCTGTGTGGGTGGCCTTGTGACCAGAACCACCAGCTCGTCTTTCCTGGCCAGACTGAGTCTTACCTCAGTTTCTACCTCACATCCCTCTGAATGGAGGGAGAAAACATGGAAGTTTATAGGTAGTTGGCCAGTATCTGATCATGAGGCTTAAAAAAAAAAAAAGTATTTCTTTTTATCCCTTACCTTCAAAAAAGAGTCCTATGTTTATAAATTCTGGACTCATATTTGAAGAAGCAGAGAACTGAGGAAATTGGAGAATGTTGACTGCTAAGGAAAATGATGGTCCACAATGGCACCATTTGCTCTTCAGTATCCCAGCCATGCCAGCGGCCCTCTGGGACATAGGTAGCTGTCACTCAAACTTGGTCACATCTCCATGTCCGTTTCCATGTGCAGCAGCTCTTAAGACCTAGGAATCCTTTCCTCATTAGTTGTCAGTATGTTATAGAGTAGGACCTGTGTTCCAAATCGTGCAGAAATTCTCATTTCTATTTCTTACCCAAACCCCCGAGAACCTGCTCTCCCTGCCTGGTCACTGTTTGTGTTGGGAAGTCTCTGGGCATTGAAAAATGAGTTGAGCAGCAGGCCTGGCTGATGGAGACCACTGGCAAGAGGGTAACCTCACAGAGCGTCTTTGTCTGAGCCTTCCAGCTTGGAGGGATCTCAAAACCTTCGTTTTAAAACTTTCTCGTTGAAGATTTCATTGCATCCTAGCTTTTGTGATAAACATCAGTAATGCTTCTCAGCAGGCACTGCAAACACTTGCTGCCCTGGGCCTGGGAATAAGCAGTAACTGGGGCAAGTGGCTAGTCGTTCCACCTGTGCTTGCGGGGCTCAGGGCATCTTCTGGAGCTCTCATGCTCCTGCTTCCCTGGCCTGGGCCCCGGCAGCCCAAGAGTGGCTGCTCAAGAAGATAGCAAGGCCAGTAGAAAAGGGACCAAAAGGTACAGGGGATGATAGGACATCTCCTTTGCTTCCTTCAGTGAAGTCCTTAGTGGGGCGTGAACACCCCAGTTCTTACTCAGCAGTGGCTGCCCTCTTATCAGATCCAAGGATGCTTCTCAGTTCTTGCTTCCTGGACCTTTGTTCTGCGTTTGGCCCTTGGAAGCTCAGCTCCTGGTTCTCTGCTTCTCCCCATACATCTCCAGCAATGTCCTGCTGGTCCCTTTGCAGATGCCTCTTCCTCTGCTGTCCCCCGTGAGTGTTCACATTCCCTGGAGTCTACCCCACCCTCTTTTTTGTCTTTATCCACACTCCCTTCCTGAATGAATTCCTCTCCTCTTAGGATTGTTACTACTTACTAGATGCTGAGGTGACCAAAATCTGTCTCTCCAGCCCTGCCCTCCTTCCTAAGTTCTTGACAAGCTTCCCCTCCCGCCTTCTTAAACTCTTTACCTGGATGCCTTGTGATCACCTCAGCCAGTGCTTGTCCTTCCTTGCACAGGACGCAGTGACCAGTGTGGGTGGCGTGCTGTGTAGGCTGCCTCCCGTTCCCACCTACCTCTGCTCCCACCAGGGCAGTTATGTGTATCAGATAATCATTCAGTTTAGCTGAGTCAAAGAAGGTACACGGGTCAAATAAGAGCATAAAAAAGGAAACTGTCATCTCTGTGAAAACTAAAATTGCTTGAAAAGATTCAATAAGAATGAATCTGTAAAAATTCTGTTTGGGTGTAACAACTATAAAAGAATAGGGGGAAAAATCATAAAATTCAGGAAGAATTCTGTACTCAGATGGCTTTACAGATGTCTAAGTTCTTCCTCTCTTTTAAAGAAACAAAAACTATAGGGGCACCTGGGTGGCTCAAGCATCCGACTGATTTTTGGCTCTGGTCATGATCTCAGGATTGTGAGATGGAACCCCTTCTTCTGTTCACTCTAGTTCTCTCTCCCTTTCTCTCTCTCTCTCTCTAAAACTAAGGAGAAACTATAAATTATAGATAATGAATTATGACTATAATTTATTCAGAAAAAATGTAAAAATCTAATTATTGTCCTCTCTTTAAAAGCTTTACATTTTTAAAAATGAATTTACGTTTATATAAATTAAGGTAAATGATTAGCTATATATAAAGATCTCTCGTATATGATTCCCCTCTATTTTTTTAAAGATTGTATGTATGTATATATGTATGTATGTGTTTATTTATTTATACACACGTGCAAGCAGGGGTGGGGAGGCAAAGGAAGAAGGAGAAAGAGAATCTCAAGTAGACTCCATGCTAACCAGGGCCCAACAAGGGGCTCAATCCCAAAATCCTGAAATCATGACCTGAGCCAAAACTAAAAGTCAGATGCTTACAGACTGAGCCACCCAGATGGCTCTGATTCCCCTCTGTAGCCAGTTCCTATGATAACTTACTAACTACTGCTTCAAGCACATCAAATGAGAAGGCTTGTTATAACATCTTAGAGATCTTACCCTATCAGATTGTTACAGTGTTTGATTGGATCAAATATAAGAAATGCTCTCTAACTGTAAAACTATAGAAGATCACTGTTAGGTGATGTCAACTTTACAGTAGGAGGGCTATGGCAGTCAAGGTAGAAGAATGATCACTGATCTGTTGGCTTATCTTAGAATCAGAATTTTATTACTGAAAATAACCTCAGGTATCTACATCTCATTGTCTCTCACAATTTACACATTGGAAAGCTTATGCCCCGCAAAGGTTAAATGAGTTGCTTATATGCAAGAAATCCAGATAGCGAACTCTTTGTTCAATTTTCCTCCATTTACACCATGCTGACTTAAGAGAGAAAAGTTTTCCTTCAGAGTGAGGGTGGGGGGAGAGCCCTCAAAAGTCCTAATTAGGTTCCAGTTAATTAAGGTTTGAAAATAATGGATGTACATCCTTGGAGTTGATTCCTTGGTTCCCCAGAAAACAAGTTGTATGGACCACAGCTTTAGAAGGGGCACATCAATCTCCACAGCAAGGACACTGGTGAGATTCTTTATAAATCAGCTAAATGGCCCCATTCAGGAGTTACCGCATTTGTTCCCCTGGGCCTGCTGCCTGCATTTGCCCTCGCAAAAATCCATTTTTCCTTGGTGCTTTTGGCACAGCCTGCTGTTTGGAGTTTCTCTCTGATGCTTTGTTTGCCTCATTTCACCATGTCCACATTTTTGGTGGTGTTCCTGAAAAAATAGGCCCTTTTATACCAGCCTCCATGAGAGAGGCTCTGTGAGAAGGGACGCCTTCCATGTCACACCGTGTGCCTTTGGATATAGAATAAATCCACTAAACCAGAAGTTTTACTTTTCCAAGAAATCAGTTCACCACGATGATCTTCAGAATGAGTGAGGTGGGGATACAAGGGTAGTGCCTGTTTGTTGAGTCAGGGTTGGACTGATTTGGAGGCCGTAACTACAGGAATACAGAGCTACTTGGCCATTGGGTGATTGCAGTCAACCCCTTAGGCTGGAGCTGCCTCACTCACATCAGATGGTGTGCCCTCAGCCCTCCGGGCGACCTGGCTAGCTCCGGTCCCCCAGGGGACCACCTGCTGACGTTTTGCCTGCTTGCCCTAGTGTGCTATCAAATATGAGCACATTCTCTACATACTGTGGTGTGGGACAGAATGGGAAGCACTGTCTTAAAGCCTGATCTCCTGCTTCACATCACATGTCTATTCTACCTAGAGGTCAAACCTCATTCTACGGAGGTTCTAGCTCAGGGAAATGACACTCCTTTGTTTCACTGCCCAAAAAGCAAATGCAGATGCCGAGTGCATTCTTTGTACTTTTTGGTTGGAACAGTTGGAATAGTATTCCTTCCAGGTGGCTTCTTCCCATCTTCACATTTCCTGCTGCCATGTTAATTCTAGACTCTGACACAGATTCTGGTTTCATTTTCTTTGTTATCGTGTACGTCACCCCTGTTTCTTGAAAAGAGATGCCTGCCTGTAAAGGGAACCCAGACATCTTTGTGTTTGTAGTAAAAGGAACATGATTATGCAAATCTTGAGTTGTGGGGAAGGGGGACTGTGAGAAGCCCTCCCTCCGTGCTCTGATTCTTGCTCCATAACTTGGGCCTGCCTGACACTTCTGTTTATGCTGACACAAAGTCTGCTCCCGGGCTTCTTCCTCTCTAGAGAGGAAGATAACACTGCCTGTGATCTGACAAGGCCTCAAGCTTATTTTAGAGTCCTGTGTCTTAGTGGTTACCTTAAAGAAAGATGGGTAGCAGCTTGGTCAGTAGAACCTTCAAATACAGACATCTCAGGGAATTGATTATCTTCAGGAAGCTACACCTACAGCTTTCCAGGGCTTTCCCTCCACATTCCTCAGTCAGGAGCTAGCACTTAGAGAGCAACCACTCTGTGGGTGGACTTCTGTGAGAAACCACCATAATGACCTGCAAGAAACTGGGTTCCCCCAGCAGGTTGGCAGGGATGTGCATGGCTTCCACTAAGCCTTTGATTTTCTGAACTGAGAGGAAGTTGTAGTGAAGGAGAGTTTATATTTCCATCTTAGGTGATTCCTCCAAACTAAAGGAGCCTTTACGAAATTCTCAGCTATATCTTCTATGATGCCTTCCTGGCACGATTTTGAAGTTCAAACATCAGGCATATTCTTTGAGTGGACTTGGTTGTAAAGATGAACTTGTTGGTGAAATAACTTTTAAATACTTTGGGACCCAAGCAGCTGTGGAATGCCATTCTGGATGTCCTTGGGCTATCCCAGTCATTAAGTCAGGGGTCAGCAGACTTTCTGTAAAGGGCCAGATAGTAAATATTTTAGGCTTTGTGGGCCATATGGCCTCTGTCTCAACTCCT